ATATGTTAGTCTTTCTTTCCAATAAAGTAAAAAGCAAACTCTTTGGGTCTCCAAATCCTTGTTAATGTAAATTTTGTGTTTGTTGAAAACTTGGTATTTCCCTAAGAAAAAATGCATCTGGTTTTGAACTGAACATAAAGGCATTAAACAAATAGATTGCTTTTCCAAGCAGCTTAAACTCTTACTCCTATCTAAATATGTAGGCTTTTGAGAACTGTTAGGTGGGTTTTCTTTATTGCTTTTGTTTTATATTTCAATCTCCTATTTAAGTGATATTAATAGCTCTGCTTATGTAATGTCTCTGTTGTATGTGTATGTTTTTAATCTCTACTTAGGTTGACCTGACAGTTCAAGAAAAGGAGAAATATCTTAATGTGTCTCGCTGGTTTTGTCACATTCAGCATTACCCAGGCATCAGGCAACATCTGTCTAGCGTTGTCTTCGTCAAGAACAGACTGTATACTAATTCCCACTAGAAGCTATCCATGCAGTACAGAAGAACAATTAAAAATGTTTTAAATGGAAAATGTACTGTGGACCACAGGACTCACATAAATTGATACATAGTCATTCTTTAGTTGTTGAAGTTGACAGAATTTTTAAAGTATAAACTTGTGTCTGAGTGTTTTATTTGTTCTTCAGTTGAAGTTTTATAATTTTTAATATAAAAATTAAAGTGCTATGAAATAAAACAAGTTGAGATCACGTTGTAAATTAACCTTGTTTTTAAAGGTGAGATTTAATAAACACTGTAAATCAATGACTTACTCTTAAAGAAAATAGGTAGTTCTTACGGTGGTTGACATATTTGACTATTTATTGACCTCTCTTTAATGTTTTAAAATTCATTTTCCCCTTATAGATATTTATGGTAGTTTGTTCATTAAGAACTACAATAAGTTGTACCAAGGAAACAAAGGGAAGACAGATGGATTTGTTTTCAGATATTTATGTGAGCTAGTAAATGTGGTTGAAAAAAATCTTTTTTGTTTGTTTCTTTCTTTCCTGTAGTCAATATTCATTGGGGTGAAACTAACTACTGAACTGCCCTAAAGGAAACTGGAATAAGATACATTCCTCTTGAGATAGTGTTTCTTTTTGTTATTGGGCTTATTGGAATTTGCAGTGGCCTAAAAGAGATGGGAGATTCCAGCCCTCCCACTAATTTTGGATTTTTAATTATTAGATTTTTCTAAACTAAAAGCCAACTCTTATAGAAAGGCTGCTGTTACAACACTATGTGAAGAACAGAGATGCTTTATTAAGAGATCTATGTATTTTACAACTCTTACTGGCTGAATAAATAATCAGTTATTGAGAGCTAAAGAGCTTGTCTTTCCCAGTAATTAAAATAGAGTCATTGGGCACTTTACTGTTTAATCCTATTAAATGTTTTGTGCTGCTGCTGAGTCTAGGCAGTATACAGTTCAAAATTTGAGTGGAAAGAGCAGGTACTTAGGAAGTATTTAGCATTTGAGTTGAGTACTGTTTATATCACTTACTAGCTTGTATGATCTTAAGACAGTTAACCATATTTTCTTAATCTAACTGTAAATGAGGATTAAAGGAGACACTATGAAGGAAAAAAAGCTTAATATATAAGGTTAGTTTCTTTTCAAATCACAATTTTTGGTTTGTGTGCTTATAAGGAAATGAGGATTATAAGAGCCCCCCCCCCCCGTTTTTGCCCTTCATGTTACTGAGTCAGGAGATTTAATAGACCAAGTGTGTAAGTATTGGCATACCTCATTTTATTGCATTTGGCTTTATGGTGCTTTGCAAATTGGATCTTTTACAAATTGAAGGTTTTTAGCAACCCTGCAAGAAGCAAGTCTGTTGGCACCATTTTTCCATTAGCATGTGCTCACTTCACGTCTCTGTCACATTTGGATAATTCTCACAGTATTTCAAACTTTTTCTCATTATGTCTGTTATGGTGATCTGTAATCATTGATCTTTGCTGTTGCTATTGTCATTGTTTTTGGGGCACCACAAACTGCCCATATAAGACTGAATAAATGTATTTGTTCTGATCATCCTATCAACCAGCCATTCCTGCATTTCTTTCCCTCTCCTCAGGCCTCCTCATTTCCTGAGATACAACAGTATTGAAATTAGGCCAATTAATAACCCTACAGTGATGTCCTGAGACTAAGTGTTCAAGTGAAAGGAAGAGTTGTATATTTCTCACTTTAATTCAAAAGCTAGAAATGATTAAGCTTAGTGAGAAAAGCACGTCAAAGGCTGAGATAGGCAGAAAGCTAGGCCTCTTGCACTAGTTAGCCAAGTTGTGAATGTAAAAGAAACGTTCTTGAAAGAAATTAAAAGTGCTACTCCAGTGAACACACAAAAGATAAGAAAGCCAAACAGCCTTGTTGCTGATGTAGAGAAAGTGGGTGGTCTGGATAGATGATCAAGCCAGCCACAACATTCCCTTATGCCAAAGCCTAATCCAGAGCAAGGCCCTAACTCTGTTCAATTCTGTGAAGGCTGAGAGAGCCAAGGAAGCTACAGAAGAAATATTGGGAGCTACCAAAAATTGGTTCATGAGGTTTAACACATTGACTGCCACACACAAAAAATAAACTTTTACTTGGGGCCACAGTGTTTTATTACAAAAATAGAATAAAAACTTTGAGTGTAATTTAAAGGTAAACATAAATAGAAAAATGAAATTAACTTCTATTCATTTAAGCCACATTTTTAGAATTAAATTGTAAATATTAGTTGTAACAGTAAGAACATCAACAAGATTTTATATATGCTTTGTGTGGCCCTGGGGTCAAAACTAGAGTGAGTTAAATACACTTCTCATGACAGTTAATATGTTAAGGAAAGAAGCTGTCACCATAACATGGAAGTACAAGGTGAAGCAACAAGTTATCCAGAAGATCTAGCTAGGATCATTGATGAAGGTGGCTACACTAAACAGATTTTCAATGTAGGTGAAACAGCCTTTTATTGGAAGAAGATGCCATTCGTAGCTAGAAAGGAGAAGACAAAGTTTCAAAGGACAGAATGAATCTCTTGTTAGGGGCTGGCTAATGTAGCCAGTGACTTTTAAGTTGAAGCCAATGCTCATTTACCATTCAGAAAATCCTAAAGCCCTTAAGAATTAAATCTATTCTGTCCTCCATAAATGCCTAGATGACACCACACCTGTTTATAGCATGGTTTACTGAATAAGTCTAATGTTCCTACTGCCCCCCAAAAAGATTCCTCTCAAAATATTACTGCTCTTTGACAATGTACCTAGTCACCCAAGAGCTCTCACAGAAATGTACAAGGAGATTCATGTTGTTTTCATGCCTGTTAACATAACATCCATTCTGTAGCCTATGGATCAAGGAATAATTTTGACTTTCAAATCTTATTAAGAAATACATTTTATAAGGCTCTAGCTGCCACAGATAGTGATTCCTCTGATGGATCTGGGCAAAGTAGATTGAAAACCTTCTGGAAAGGATTCACCACTCTAGATGCCACTAAGAACATTCATGATTGATGGGAGAAGGTCAAAATATCAACAGGAATTTGGAAGAAGATTCCAACCCCTATGGATGACTTTGAGGGGTTTGAGACTTCAGTGGAAGAAGTAACTATGGATGTGGTAGAAATAGCAAGAGAACTAGAATTAGAAGTGGAGCCTGAAATGTGACTGAATTGCTGTAATCTCATGATAAAACTTGAACAGAGTAGTTGCTTCATATGGATGTGCAAAGAACATGGCTTCTTGAGATGAAATCTGCTCATGGTGAAGATGCTGTGAACATTTTTGAAATGACAACAAAGGATTTAGAAAATTACACAAACAGTTGATAAAGCAGTGTCCAGATTTGAGAGGACTGAGTCTAATTTTGAAAGAAGTTCTATTATGGGTAAAATGCTGTCAAACAGCATTGCATGTTACAGATAAATCTTTCGTAAAAGGACAAGTCAATCGATGTAGGAAACTTCATTGTCTTATTTGAGGAAGTTGCCACAGCTACCCCAACCTTTAGCAATCACTGTGACCAGTCAGCAGCCATCAACATCGAGGCACGACCCTCCACCAGCAGAAAGGTTGCCTAAAATCTCAGATTACTAGCATTTTTTAACCATAATGTTCTGGTTTTTTGTTTGTTTGGTTTTTGGTTTGGGGGCTTTTTTTTTTTATATATATAGGATCTCAATCACCTAGGCTGGGAGTACAGTGGGTCAATCATTGCTCACTGCAACCTTGAGCTCCTGGGCTCAAGTGATCCTCACGCCTTGGCCTCCCAAGTAGCTGGAACTACAGTCACACACTACTGTGCCTGGCTAACTTTTTTTTTTGTAGAGACAGTCTCTGTGTTGTACAGGCTGTTCTCAAATTCCTGGCCTCAAGTAATCCTGCCACCTCAACCACCATAAAGTATTTTTTAATTAGGTTATTTTCATTGTATTTTTACAATGCAATATGTAAATGTGCAATAATGCTATTGCACATTTGATAGACTACAGTAGAGTGTAAACATAACTTTTATATGCACTGGGAAACCAAGAAAATTGTGTGACTTGCTCTATTGTAGTATTTGCTTTATTGCAGTGATCTGAAACCAAGCCCACGATACCTTCAAGGCATGCCCGTATATTACAATAGAGCAATATAATTTTGATAGGATTGGATTTCACAATGTATCGCCCTCAGAAACATTTTTAATTTTATAAATGTTCTTTAAATTAGAAACTGTAAACCTGTATTTGCATATTCAGAGACTAGAGAGTTCAGGTTAATTTGGGGAGTTATTATGCATACCATAGAGGCAGACACAGTCTATGTACCTTTCATGCAAACCACTGCCCCAGCTGGGTCTGCTGTAAGCATGCCACATTGTGTCTGCTGCAAATCACTCCTTCCCCTGACACTTCTCTCCTCTTCCTGGACAGCAGGAGGATTGAAGCAGGACAGATAGGGTTGACAGGAGATGGGCCACCCAGCCCTCCCATCCCAACTATTTTACTCTTTTCCTTCATTTTAGGTCAGCTATGAGGAAAGGACAGAACAGAGAGGGAGACCACCTCTTACCAACTTCTACCTTGTGAGTCTTAATCCTCTGGATCCTCACATCTATTATTCAGTTCTTAGTGTACACGACATTGATTCAACAGATATTACCTGGTACTACAAAGTACCAGGATTTCTCACCACTAACTTAGATTTAGAGCATGAGGAGATGGCAGAAAGATAAAGACCTGGCTCCTGCAGCCAGGGGTAGATAATATTGTCAGTGTGCAGGATCAAACACTTCATTTCCTTGTAGAATCCTTCTTGGGTCATTTCTGTGAGATCACTTCTCTGCTTGAAATGCCCTTTCCTTCTTGCTTAATAATCTCTTCAATATTCAACTTGGTTACATCCTCCTGGAAGTCAAGTCTATTCTGATAATAAATCTCCCCTGGCCCCTGATCTTGGCACTGACACTACTACACTGTTCTTGATTATCTGTCTCTTTAGCCAACTTAATTCCTTGAGAGACTATTTTTCCTTGGATACCCAGCCCTCAAAACAATGACCGTTACCCCATAGTAGGTGCTCAGTACATGTTTATTGAAAGAATGTACCATTTTAAGCCCATTTTGAGCTAACCAAGGAAAGTATAAGTGTAAATTGCAATTAGGTACAGGCATATATAGCAGAAAGACCAAATAACATGAAAGTGGGTTGTTCTCTCATATAAAAGAAGTTGAGAGATAGCCCATGTTTGGTATAAGGCATCCAGCTTCTGTTTTTCTGCTTTTCCACATTGAACAAGTGATTTCCACCCTTAAGTTCAATTTATGGCCCAATATTGATATCAGAGCTCCAGACATCAAGTCTGATTAACATCCAAAGGAGGAGCAAGGGGGGCAGCAAAAGGCTCCTCTCCTAGCTGAGTCGGTTTGCCTGAAGGGGCTTTCCTGGAAGCCCTGTGCCCCTATATCTGTGTATATCTCTTTGGCTTCCCTGCTGGGAGGAGGCCAGAGGTACAGTCCTTTAGTGGGCACATTGCCTCCCAGAATAAAGCTGTGTTCTGTCAGTAAAGAAGAAGGAATAAAGGGCAACTAGCTCTCTGTCACAATGAGTAGTGCTTAACACAGTAACTGCCACGTGGGTTGTATTTAACTCATGCCAGGATTGAGTCCAGGGCCTCACAAAAAATATATATAACTCATGCAACTCTACCTTGGGAGTTGTGTGAAGTATTTTTCAAGTTGCATATAACTCATGCACAGAAAACAATAGAAAATAATAAATTTTTCATTAAATTAGAAAGGATCATTTTGTTTTTGAAGCTTTTATTCTATTTTTGTAATAAAACACTGTGGCCCCAAAGGAAAAAAATTTTTTTTCTAGTGTGGCAGTCAACGTGTTAAATGGGAAAACACCCTACAAATACCAGATGGTCAATTGTAAAAGAACTGTTGTTAGTAAATTATTGGCATTGCATGGATCATTGATTTGCAAAGAATTAGAATATAATAAAATAACTTTTCACTGACCATTTAACATTCCACTGACAATTTAATTTTCATGATTCATAAGCTAATTTTAGGATCCTGTATATGCCATTATCATTATGAGGATCTGTTAATGCACTTTTAATAATAATAGCTAACATTTATTGAGCATTTAGTATGTATCAGGCACCATTCTAAGTGCTTTAAGTGAATTCACTCTTTTATTATCCTCTTTTGGAAATAGGAAACTGAAGCACGGAGAGGTTACAGAAGTAGCCCAAGGTCACACAACCAGTAATCAAGGTGCTGGGATTCAAACATAAGTGTCTGGCTCTATCTTAACCTGTAAACCACATGACAGGTATGCCAGTGAAATTCTAGTTAATCAATTTGTGAAATCAATTGTTGCCAACCTTAGAAAAAAGCTGCCCTAGGCATTAGACAAAATAAATGTGTACCTAATTCGAAAAATAAATGAGATGGTTGCACAACTCTGTGAATATACTAAAAACCTCTGACTTATACACTGTAAGTAGTAAATGTTGCAATATGTGAATTATAGCTCAATAAAGCAATTGAAAAAAGAAAGGAGTGGAGTCAAACACACCAGCCTCACCGTGTATTAAGTATAAGACCTTGCGTAAGTCACCGCATAGGAAATTCCTCATATGAAATAGGAGTAAAGATCACTGATCTCATTTAAATTGCAATGAGAATGTATAAAAAAATTACCCATCACTGTGCCTAGCACAGTAAAGGGCAGACTGCTCTGAAAGATTGTAAAAGCATAACCCACAATTTTCTAAAGCCAAATTCTTTTCCACCTGCCATCCCTGAAGTGCCAACCTGCTCAATACATGAGCCCATTTGAGGTTGACAATTGGTAGCAGAGCATCTTGAGATTTTGGTAAAACATGAATTCATATTTCTTACCAGTTTAAAAGTCTCTGATTCTCACATCTTTTGAGCTGTTGGGAAAAAAGGCCATGCTGTTTTTCTTATTTTGTTTCTAAAAGATCAGTGAGACCTGTCCGAAAGAGAGTGCAGCCATCTTCATGCATGCTGTTCTTTCTGAAAAGTGAATGCTCCTTTCCAAGCATTTTCTTTCTGTAAGTCCCAGAAGCCTGCAGCGCTGACCATTCAATGATTCTTGCAGATATTATTTAGTGCCTATTATGTGTCAGATACTCGGCTAGTCCCTTCATATAACACAGTTACATCCCTACCCTCATAGAGTTTATAATCCAATGGTCTGTGAACAAGTTCCAATGGTATGGGAACTGGGCCCATAGACCAGAGAAGCTATCAGCCACTCTGCATTCTTTGAAAGTAAATAAAAATAACTGGATATCATTTACTGAGTGTCTACTAGGTTCTGTGCTCCATACTGGGCTGTCTACAACATTAACATCTTGTGTTAATTTAGGAGCTAGGGAGGAGGCAGAGACTAAGCCACATGGTAACTAACACCTCAATTAGACCATGTCTGGAATGAATGGGAATTGTGTGATTTCAGGGTTAGAAGACACTTTGTCACCACATTGATCACTGGATTTCATTGAACTGCCCTGATCAGATACATGTCCCTATTCCACATGATACTTTCAAAAACAGATAGAAAATTCCAGAGAGGGAGGGATCACTCTTCAGTCAAGGATTCATCAACTTTATCGTTCGTTAGAATAAATACCAGTTTTAAAACAAATGGAAATACTAGAACTGGGAGCAATATCAAACACCCAAGCATCCAAGATATCATAAAGTATTTTGTGAAGTTCTGTGGCTGTCAATCTCTTTCCAAGTGGCTGCTGTCACAATATGGTAGAAAAAGGTGACATAACTTCAAGAATTACACAATCACCCATCCATGACCTGACTTCACAGTGAAACACCCCATCCCCATCCAGTTCAGCAATAAGATTATTCACTAAAATTTTTAATAGATATATGAGAATTCTCATTTTTACTCCCTATTAAACCTTGGTCTTCCATTGACTCCACCCAATTATACCTGAAGCCATGGCTAACCACAGTCAGTAATGGGCACATTAGGATTCCCACAGGGATGAAGGCAGGAAGGTAGGATCGGAATGATGGGAAGGATCACCCACCACCAGTGCCTCATGTCCTCAGTGCCCCCTGAAAAGCATATCTAATTCATGAGAGCCCCTCTGAAAGCCTGTCCAGAATAGCTTCAAGATATGTTGATGAAAATTTAAGCAGATATATTGTTAGGAAAGAATAGAACTTTATTATAATCAGGTACATGTACATTGCACCCAAGGATAAAATACACAACTATTTGACAGGTAGTCAAATTGGAGTTATTGTGAACTATAGCTTTTTCATTTATATTTCTTTCTTAATATTTGACTTCATCCCTTTAAAAAAAAAAGTCAGACATTACATGAACTTTAATATTAATCTAGCTTTGGCAGAGATGTGGTAGTTTAATGGATTAGAGCATTTAGCTTTTTACCCCAGAGAGCAATATTTCTTCTTTCTCCCCATAATTAGATAATCTGCTACTGCCCATTACCAGGGCACTAAATTTCAAATTCTCCATACACCTGAACATATCTGGCCATCTTAATTTTAGTCTTGATTTATTGGAGCTGAATTACATTCCTAACTCTTCCTGGAGCACTGGGTGAATTTTATTGCAAAAGCGATGGAGAGAAAGTTACCGTCATATATCTGTCTTGCTGGGCAGAGCGTTTAGATACACAAGGGACCCCACGCCCCACTGCTCCATGTCTTGTATGTTGGATTTATAACACTGAAGCTCAGCTCTAGGGTTACATACAGGCATATCAGAGATGAGATGGGGAATTTGATTTTGCCATAATGATTACTTGTTGCTGGAGCCCACATTCCTGCAGGCTCTGCCTTTATTCCCAACACTGCTGGCAAATAAAACTAATTCCAACTGCTACCTAATCTAGCAAAACTCATCTTTCACTTAAGGGAGAGAGGCCAAAAGAAGGTAGACAGGAAGTCAGGAGAATTTGAGATGTTGGCCATTTTCACTATCATGTCTGAAGGATTTCTGCTTCCATTATTGTGATTCCTTTGGGAATATTTTAATCTTTTAAACTCATGTTTCTTTGTGGGGGGAATGAAAGCATTGCATCTTTTCCAGCCCAGTGAGTTAATTTGATGGCTCATTCGTGCTATCTCGAATCTTCCACTTCAAAGAGGCCAGGTCCCTAAGGCTAGCCAATTGTATTATGAATCCTGCAGTTTGGGCTTGCTGTTCCTGGTGAGTGTCATCTGTCCTCGCAGTCTTGCAGTGGATAATTTTTGTCCTCCTTAACATCATCTGCTTGAGAAATTTGTGCCTGGCAGGCCTGTCTGTCCAAGTTAAGCTTGAAATACAGTAGCCATACAACTAATATGACAAGGCATAGCTCTAAACAATAAGGCCGCAGGCTTGCTTTGACCAAGATGAGAAACTTCCAACCACCTGATTACAAATTCCAAAGCTGCTTTGGTGTGGTCCATGAAGTAGCCTGTTTACGCAATGTAAGTTATCCTTCCTCCACAGCCCCATTTTTTCTGACCTTCTGCAACACACACACACACCTTGTCTTAAATGTTCTCAGAGATTTTGGACTCTTAGACCAGCCTCATGAGGTTTCCAGTTCCTCACTGTTTTCACCACTCGACTTGAGCCCTGTGCTTGGGTAAAAGAACTCTATAGTCAACTCTCTTTCCAGGTGCTGAGGGTATGGGTAATAGATGTTTGCACTAAAGCAGTGGTTCTCAGACTTTAGCATGCATACGAATGACTTGGGCCCTCTTAAAACACAGATTTCTGGGCTCCAACTTGAGTTTCTGATTCAGGAGGTCTGGGGTGAGGCTTTAGAATTTTTATTCCTAAGAAATCCCCAAGTAAGTCTAATGCTGCTGGTGTGGTAACCATACTGTAAGAACTGCTATACTACACAGGTCCAAAGCTTAGGTACCAGTCAGACATAAAGCTAGCTGCATGCATACAAGAACTCATGCTTTTGTCTATTTGCATAGCTGAGTCCAATTTTCTGAAGGTGTGATCGGTGTGGTGCTGAGGCTTTCTGCGTTCTGATGGGTTGGCTCTGTCACAGGAGCAGTTTCTCCCATTGTAGCTCTCGCGGCAAAGCCCTGCGTGTTCTCCCATGATGTAGCTACTCCAGAAGCATCTCTAGGGGGAAGTAGCAGAATTCAGTACAGGAAGATTCAATAATGGACTGGAAAGTTACTGTCACCTAGAAGACCACAGATGCTAACACACAGTGTGCTACTCCACACCAAACCGACTCCCATGCCATAAACATATCTAGAACTTTATGGGATTTATATGTAGTAATGTTTAGTACCTTATCCAAAGAGCCCATGTCATGTTTTCCCCTCTCTTGCCTTCATCAGTTTTTGCATTTTTAATATTTTAACCCTCTTCGAAAATAGTTTAGAAAAAAGGAGATAAGAAATAATGCCAACAGAATGTGTTTTAGACGAAATTTCATGAAGTGGATTTGATAAAAGTAAAATAAATTTAAGATTCTCCCCAAACCCCACCTTGTGCCAATTATGCTTATCCTTGAGGGGCATATACTATGCTTTTTGTTCTTAATATGTATGTAATTAAGTACCCATTTTAGTTTCTAATTTTCATAAGATTCAATATGGGATTACAGCAAATAATTTCCCCTGGAGTCAGAACTTCACTTCTACCAAATTGACAATATCTCCATGATTTGGATGTCTTGACTCTCAAAAAGCACAATAATTGGAAAAATCCCTTTATAATTACATGATTATATTTGTATCTGATACTGATTCTCAGAAAAATGGTCTTGTATAGAGTGTTATGATGTGAGAACGGCTATTCTTAAAAACATGAAAGTACTAGTGTATGATTCCATTTCTATAATATTTTTGAAGTGACAACATTTTAGAAATGGAGGACAGATTATAATTGCCAGGGGCAGGGAAAAAGGTAGGTGTGGTTGTAAATAGGCACCTTAAGAAGATCCTTATGGCATCAGAACTGTTCAATATCTTAACTGTGGTGATGGAAGGATACGATACACATGTGATAAAATTGTATAAAACTGGCTGGGCGCGGTAGCTCATGTCTGTAATCCTAGCATTCTGGGAGGTTAAGGCGGGAGGACTGCTTGAGGTCAGGAGTTCGAAACCAGCCCGAGTAAGAGCGAGACCCTGTCTCTACCAAAAATAGAAAGAAATTAATTGGCCAGCTAAAAAGTATATAGAAAAAATTAGCCGGGCATGGTGCCACATGCCTGTAATCCCAGCTACTCAGAAGGCTGAGGCAGAAGGATTGCTTGAGCCCAGGAGTTTGAGGTTGCTGTGAGCTAGGCTGAAGCCACGGCACTCTAGCCAGGGCAATAGAGTGAGACTCTGTCTCAAAAAAAAAAAAAAAAGCATGGGTTAAGTTACACTGCAGTTCTGACACTAACTATTGGAAGATAGAACAGACTTCAGAGGTTAAAGGCATGGTCCTCCACAAGACTTATCTTCAGATACCAGCCACAATCTTGGGTTCCCAGGCCAACTGTCTTCTGACTGCCCAATTCAGAGGTTCCCACTTTATTCTCTCAGGTTTGATAATTCACTAGAATTACTCAGAAAGGTCCTATGATTATGAGCACAGTTTTATTATAAAACATATACATCAGGCCCAGCCAAATGAAGAGATGCATAGGGTGAGGTCTAGGAGGATTCCAAATACAGAGTTTACATGTCCTTGGGAATGTGTCACTCTCCTGGCACTTGGATGTATGATTACCAACCAGGAAGCTCAGTGTCCAGAGTTTTTACTGGGGTTCCATTTTGTGGGCATGGCTAATTAAATCATTGGCCATGTGATTGAGCTCAATTTCCATCTCCCTCTTTTCCCCACAGTATGGGCCAATTCTGTGGCTGAAAGCCTAAACCCTCTAATCACATGGTTGGTCTTTCTAGCATAGCCATCTCCCATCCTGAAAACATCTAGGGGCCCTCTGTGAGTTCACCTCCTTAGCATAAACTCAGGCATATTCCCAGAGGCCCACCATGAATGACAAAGACACTCCTATCACATAGGAAATTTCTAGGATTTAGAAGCTAGCTCCTAGGAACCGGGAACAAAGGCCAGCCAAATTCTTTGTTAAACAGCATAATATTTACTGAAGTGAACAGGTAGAGGGAGCAAGAAAAGAATTCTAGGAAAGAGGGTGTTTCTTTTTTTTTTTTTTTTTTTTGAGTCATAAAGACAACTGTAGAAGATAATGAGGGGGTTTCTTTTTAAGAAAGAGGTAGGAATATGTCTAGCACATCATGGCATAGTAAGGAGACCCGCACTCTGCAGATAATTATCTTTGCTATCCCATAGTCCCCCCTTAGCTGGGTTTTGCTTTCTGTGGTTTCAGTCACCTGCAGTACAGTACAATAAGGTATGTTGAGAGAAAGAACACATTCACATAACTTTTATTACAGTAAATTGTTATAATTATTCTGTTTTATTATAGTTACTGTTAATCTCTTACTATGCCTTATTTATAAATTAAAGTTTATCAAGGAATGTATACATAGGAAAAGACATAGTACAAACAGGGTTCAGTACTATCTGTGGTTTCAGGTATCCACGGGGGGACTTGGAATATATCCATTGCAGATAAGCAAGAGACAGCTGTAATAGAATGCACCAGATTTGAGTGAAATAACCAGGGCTCTGACCATGGTACTGCTATTCACTAATTGTGGTTCCATCTTGTTGGAATATATGGATCATTATAAACCATCTGAAATACTTTCCATGAGAGGTGGGCATGATTTCAACACACACATGTAGTGATCAAAACAGCAAAGATTTGTATTATTTCTCACAATACTGCGCATTGATTTGGCAGTTTCTGGCTCCATGTAGTGGTGTTGGCTCTACATGCAATTCACATGACTGCATTCAGCTGGCCAATGGCTGGGCTGAAAGATCCAGGACGGTCTCCCTCATATGTCTGGGGGCCTGGGTGCTGATTGCTAGGGTGGCTCAGTTCTCACCCACGAAGCCTCTCTCTACACATGATGTCTCATCTTGCGGAGCTTCTCTGTGCAATGGCTTCTCTCCAGGAGAATAGCCTGGGTTTCCTGACAAGAGAGCAAAAGCGGAAGCTGCCAGGTCTCTTAAAGCCCAGAACAGGCACAGCATTTTTTCCACCAGGATCTGCTGGTCAAAGCAAGTCAGAGGCCAGCACGGTTTTAAGGGGAGGAGAACTACTCTACCACTTGGTGGGAAGACCAGCATGTTGCATGTGTGTACAGGGAGAAAAGAAATCATTGCAGCCGTCTTTGGAGACTCTACCATATTTTCTGACCCTCAGTTCCTCATCTGAAAATTAGAATTTTAATATCTACTTCAACTACAGGCCGGGCGCGGTGGCTCATGCCTGTAATCCTAGCACTCTGGGAGGCTGAGGCGGGCAGATTGCTCGAGATCAGGAGTTTGAAACCAGCCTGAGCAAGAGCGAGACCCCGTCCCTACTATAAATAGAAAGAAATTAATTGGCCAACTAATATATATAGAAAAAATTAGCCGGGCATGGTGGTGCATGCCTGTAGTCCCAGCTACTCGAGAGGCTGAGGCAGCAGGATTGCTTGAGCCCAGGAGTTTGAGGTTGCTGTGAGCTAGGCTGATGCCAGGGCACTCGCTCTAGCCTGGGCAACAAAGCAAGACTCTGTCTCAAAAAAAAAAACCAAAAAACAAAATACAAGCTACATTAGCGAGAAGATTAAGAGACATATACTATGTGATGTGTGACAGCATTTTATAAATTTTAAAGTACTAAACAAGTAGAAAGTTTAGTGGTGGGTGATGAAAGTGGAGTAGAAGAATGGGAGCAGAATATACAGTGCTTTTTGGAAGTTTACCAGAGGGAGGGGAAACAAAGAAAGAAAGAATATACAGTGCTTTAAAAGCAGATAGAGGATGTTATTGTAATAAAAATTTTTTGAGCATTTTCTGTGTGCCAGGCACTGCAGTAACTGCATTGCAACTCTATAGGATGGATATTTTATTGCCATTTTACAAAAAAGTAAGGGCAGGGCCAGAATTAGAATTCAGTTCTGTTTCCAAAGTCTTAACTACTGCAGCCAGAGTTTCTTTTATCACTTATATCACCATCAGTTGGCAAATATTGAGGCAGGACTCAGAATCTGCATTTTTAAAATAGCCCTGTTAATGTAGGAGAAGCATTCAACCTCATTGTGCTATAGTGAACCTTCCTAGGTTTTCCAGTAGTTCAAGGACACTAAGAAGACAGGCTTAGAGGAATTTTTTTCTTCCGGGGCAGAAGAAAGGCTTGAGTAGGGAAAATGCCTAGAAGTGGGGGGAATAACAAGGAGCTTTAAAAAGACGCTTTCTAGAGATTGATGCTAAAATTAGGGAAATGAAAGTAAGATCAGAAACTTTAGAAGCCAGACCCAACTATTTGAAATTAAACAAGTGTACAGTTTGTTAATTAATTCACTTTATGCCTCTTTGCCTTTGGGCTTATTTCCTCTGCTAGGAAATGATTTCCAAGTTCCCTTTTCCCCCCCACCCACTGGACATTTCCAGTCTGAGGATAAACGTTTGCCTCCTCTGGGAAGCTTTTCCTGACCCCTCACTCCTTGGAGTCCCACGTGTGTGTTGCACCTTTCTCCATCCTAGCATTTATAGGCCTTTTCAGTAAATGTTGGTTTCTATTCCTTCTTCAGCATTAGACTGTGAGACCCTGGAATAGAGGAAGGAGAAAGGGAGAGATTAAACATGATTCTTAAAAAGAATCACTGGGTGAACACAGGAGGTAAAGGAGCCACTACAAAGTTGCACATTGTTCTTTGAAAATCAGGAAAGCCTGTAGAGAATACAGGATGAAGATTATGGAGTTTATCCAACAGCAGCAATTAGATACATAGCACCCTTTGGTTGTCTCTTCATGACTACACCAATTGAAAACGGCCTAACAAACCCATCCCTTCCATAATTATATATATTTTATCTTACTCCATATAACAAATGGTTGAAGTTTTGCAAATACCAACACCAGAACAGATATTTTTTCTTCCCATGGGCACGAGTAGGTCTGATAAGTAATTTGGGCAAGTTATTTAACCCTGTTATTTCATTCGTTAGAAAGAGATGATAAAACTGTCCCTGTTGCTATGATGACCAAATGTGACAATGCATGTCAAAATGCTTTATAAAATACTGGTGGCAGACAGTAATATATTTATATTTATACTATTAATATTATTCCTCGACAGCACCCCAGTCCTTCCCCAATTTTTCTAAACCACGAATTAGGGAGGAGTAACAGATTTAGTTCTAACTTTCAGACCCTTTCCTAGTCCAGTGGCATCTGCCCTAATCCAGCATGGCGTCAGGAGCTTCGGCCAGTCCACACCCCTGGTTACACTACAGGCGTCTTTGCGGAACTGCCTGCTGGGTAGATTCAACTTCTCCGACGCCCTGTGATGACGCAAAAAACCCGGGCGCTCCTTGCAAGAGGGCCGCCCAGGTTTGCGCAGGCGCAGCGCAGCCGCGGGTGGGCGGAACTGGTCGGGATGAGTGGCGGAGGGACAGAGACCCCTGTGGGTTGTGAGACCGCCCAGGGCGGCGGCAGCAAGAAGAGGGACTCGCTGGGGACCGCGGGCTCAGCGCACCTCATTATCAAGGGTACGGAGTGGCAGGGCTGTGGTCCCTGGTGGCTCCCAGCGCAGCCCCACCTCCCAGGCTGCGCCCTCTGACCCGGGCCGCGCTCCGGGCCGGCGCGCGCGTTTGTGCGGGGTGGGGGAGTCGTGTGGGTCCTCGCCTATTTACCCGGGCCGAAAGCTCCCCGGTAACCACCAGCCAGCCCAGCTCCTCTTGCTCCCTCGCTTTCCTCTGTCGCAGCGCGGAGCCTTCAGGCCCGCCTCCTGTCCCTTCCCCAAGCCCTCGACCCCCGGGCGCAGAGCCGCCGTGGACAGCCTCACGACCGACTTGGAATGCAAGGGGCAGGGGAGCTGGGAGTCGGGAAGGCCGTCGCTTAGGAGTCGTGTGACTTCGGGTCATTCGCTTTACCCACTTTCCGACCCTGTCTGCTCCTGGAGTATGCGAGGAGTAAATGAGAGAACAGGAAGGCGTCCTGAAACACCGCAAAGTGCCTTACACGTGTAGAGGTGTCCTTGTGCCCTGTGAGCTTTGAGGTGGGAGGTTACAACCTGGATTCTCACAGAACCTGCATTAGGTTTGATTCCCAGAGCTCCTAACAACCCTGTTTCCTGCGGGAAGAGCTTCGCCAGTTAGATACTGCACTCTCTCGTTCGCCATTCTCCCTTAACCCCAAACTTAACCTGTCAGTTCCACCATTCTCAGTGTGGAAGCCCTTTTGTGATTCCAGAGTCCTTCCGCACTACCCAGGGAATGGCATCCTTGGTTGCTGCATGTTTCATTTTAACCTTATCTGTCTGGTCTGTACGAAGCCCCAGCACAGCTGGCTGTGGCTGTTTTAAAGTTTATATTTCAGGTTGTCTCCTAAGTATAATTAGGAGCATGAGAGTGTTGCATGAGTATTCGTGCGAAATTAGAATTATTTATGTGTGCAATCTTAGTGAAGTACTACTTTAATTTTTTAAATTGTGGTAAAATAAACATAACAAAATTTACATTTCCTTATGAAAGGTACAGTTCAGTGCCTTAAGTACATTCACATCGTTGTGCTACCATCACCACCATCCAGCTATAGAACTCTTCATCTGGCAAAACTGAAACTGTGTCCATTAAACATTAACTTCCCGTTTCCTCTCCCCCGACCCCATTCTACTTCTGTCTCTCTGAATTTGACTAGTCTAGGTACTTCATGTCAGTGGAATCATGCATTATTTGTCCTTTTGTGACTAGCTTTTTTTCACTTAGCAAAATATCCCCAGTGTGCATCCGTGTTGTAGCATGTGACAGAATTTTTTGTACTTTTTAAGACCGAATAATAGTCCATTGTATTTATTTACCACATTTTGTTTTTATGCTCATCTGTCAATGGGCACTTGAGTTGCTTTCATGTTTTAGCTATTGTGAGTAATGCTACTGTGAACTTGGGCGTACAAATATCTTTTCAAGTACCTGCTTTCAGTCCTTTTGGGTATACCCAGAAGTGAGATTGGTGGATCATATGGTAATTCTATTTTTAAGTTTTTTAGGAATTGCCATATTGGCTATACCAGTTTACATTCCCACTAACAGTGTACATGGGTTCAAATTTCCACATCCTCACCAACACTTGTTATTTTCTTTCTTTGGTAGCAGCCATCCTAATGGGTGTGAGATGGTGTCTCATTGTGGTTTTATTTGCATTTCCCTAATGGTTAGTGATGTTAAGCATCTTTCGGTATGCTTATTGGCCATTTGTGTATCTTCTTTACAGAAATGTCTATTCAAGTCCTTTGTTCATTTCTTAATCCAGTTGTTTTTTTTTTGTCATGGAGTTGTAGTTCTTTATATATACCAGACATATAAAGTGCTTATATATAGTGTTTATATTTTTCTACTCAGTATACTTTGCAAGATTGTCCTCATAAAATTCAATAAAATAGAGAATTGGAATCTGCCCTATCTTGCAATGGGGAAATAAAAAATTGGGGTAACAGATTACCAATGAATGAACATGAATAATACACATTCTTACTTGGAAATTTAGTTTCTCCAAGAATTTTGAGGTTTACATCTTAAACTACGTAGTTGTTAGTAAGAAGAGTTAATAGGCTGACTCACCAAAACAGTTAAAAATCAGATCTTTTTTTTCTTTATGACTTTTTCAGACATATGAAAAAGTGAAGACTTACAATGAGTACTCAACACACTCCTTAATACATAAATCATTAAAAGCCCCACTGTGTACCTTGCTTTGATTGCATTCAGTACCCTCCCTCCTCTCTAAAGGTAATCACTATCCTGAATTTGATGTTCATGCATTTCTTTATAGTTTTATTTCTTCTGTGTGTGTCCAAAAAGGAAGTATCATTTTGCCTATTTTTAAAGTTCATATAAATGGCTTTAATCCTTCTAAAACTTGCTTTTTTGTTCAACATTATATTTGTGGGATTTATCCATCTTGATAAGTGTAACTCTGGTGTATTCATTTTTACTTGCTGAGTTATGCCACTGTATAAGTATGTTTAAAGTATTGATTTTTTTTTCTTTTGATATTACATCTATGCTGTAATAAACATTTATAAATGCAGTATTCATTTGTGCAAGAGTTTTTCTAGCTTATGTACCTAGGCATGAAATTGCGAGGTATGCGTCTTCAACTTTATTGAATATTTCCAAATTGCTCTAAAAGTAGTTGTAGCAATTTACACACCCACTGGCAGTGGATGAGACTTCCTCTTAATCCATAGTCTAAACTGGATTTTAACCTTCATGTATTTGTGGGGAGGGGGAAGAGTAAAACATGCTAGAGTTTATGCCATTTAGCATGGATTAACCCTGAATTTCATTTTATCTTTATAGATCTTGGAGAAATTCATTCAAGGCTTTTGGATCACAGACCAGTTATTCAAGGTGAAACTCGTTATTTTGTAAAAGAATTTGAAGTGAGTATTTAAAACTTATTTTATAAAAATACTTCCCCAACTGTTAGTGTGTTAATATGCAGAAGGGAAATTCCCTCGTTTTAAAATCTGATTTCAGTTCATGTGTTCATAAAATATACAAAGTAAAAATTATGAAGAGGTAAAAATGTTTAGTTCTTTTCCTTCCTTTTTTTCTTTCTTTCTTTTTTTTTTTTTTTTTAGAGACAGGGTCTTGCTATGTTGCCCAGGCTAATCTTGAACTCCTGGGCTCATGCGATCCTCCTACATAGCTGGGACTACATGTGTGCATGCCCAGCTTAAAAGTGCTTGTTTTTAATTTGATGAGTACAAGACTAGACAGCAGGAGACTTGGGTTCATGTTCTGGTGTCTACTCTGAGATATTTAATGTCAATTTAATGTCAGTTTCTTTAAATCTATAAAATGAGAAATAGTGAAAAAAAGAGATTTTAGAGATTGATGGATCTGACCGTTCCATACTCATTTTCTATATTTTTTTCTCAGTTGGGGCATCAGCACTCACTCAAGCACTCAAGTTAAAGCTTGAGAATAATCCTTGGCTATTCTTTCCCCCTAGGTCCCACATTCAGTGGCCAAATCTTCTAGATGTTACCTCATAAATTTTCATTACTTTTGACAGGTGTGGCTGCTCTATCAACCGACTCAAATCCAATTTTCCCCCTGCTGCCGGAGTGATCTAACATTATTTCACTTTTTAAAACCCTTTGATAATATTTGCTTTCTACAGGATAAGTCCAACACCCTCTATGACCTGGCCCCTACCTTTCTAGTTGTACCACTCACCACTCCTCACCAGCAGTACTGATGCACCAACAGGCCATCTTGTTTCATATTACTATAGTTTTGCACATGTATAATTGGTTCATTGTACATAAAGCAGTAACTTTGCAAGCTACTATTGGGTAGATGGTAAATGGTGTTCCACAATTTCATGATTCTGTGTAAGTTGGATGAGACTCTGACCAAGGAAGATGTATAAACCTGCCAAAAGGCGGGAACCTTTTATTAAAGCCTTCAAACTATGGAAAGCCTGTGGTACAGAGCACTCAAGATAGAGGGACAAAGCTATATAGCCTTAGACAACCATTTCTGGGGTCAACAGACTCTATAACTCAAAAACTATATAATACTTTGTGGGGTCATTGTGAAGATTAAATACATGTGTATCTTAGGCTATTGTCTGGTACCTAGGAATTAGCTATTTAGCTATTTTCACCATCATCATCATGATCATCATTATTTATTGTTTGTATTGTGGAATAAGAATTTTGTGGAACACACAGAAAATTACCCAGAGACTATCCCTGATCGTTCTGTGTAAAGATTATTACCAATTCCACAGGGAGAATAAAGTGGAAATTTCTATACAAACTTGCTTTGAGTCCTTTAGTGTGTTGCATAAATATGTGTTAAAAATTGTGTCAAATGTTCCGCATATAGAGTGTGGATTTAATTATTCTTAAATGTGGGAGTTATATTTGATTATTCTTTTTTCCTTCACTCCAGCAACCTGACTATCAGCAAGTCTACCTGCAAAACATATCTTAAATCTTTCTACTGTGCTTCTTGCCACTACCCTGACCCTAATGCAGCCCACCATCATCCCTCCCCCGACACCCGCAGTAGGCTCCTACCTGGTCTCCTTACTTTCAGTCTTATCTCTATGAAATAGTTTTTCCCAAACAGTAGCCAGCTGACCTGTACATCTGATCATGCCCTTACTTAGCCCCCTCCCCCACGGCTTCTGTTCACACCTGCAGTACACTCCAGCTCCTTAGCTATACTTAAAAATCCTTTATGATCTCTGGCTCCTACTTTCAGACTTTATTGTACACAACTCGTTTACTGTGCTTCAGCCATACTTTCCTCTTTTCTTTAACACAGTGTGATTGTTCTACATCAGCAAGTCCATCTTCCTAAAATGCTCCTTCTCCCCATTTTTTGCTAGCTTGATCTTTTTCGTTTAGATTGCAAGTTAAATATCATCTCTGGCCTTATTTGTTTTCTAATGCTATGTAACAAATCACCACAAATTTAACAGTGTAAAACAGCTTAAACAGCTGAAAATGTAACAGTTTAAAACAGCTCAGAGTCCTGTATGTAGGTCAGAAGTCTGGGTACAGCAGGGCTGAGATCTCAGCACAGGGTCTCACAAAGCTAACATCAAGAATGTATTGACCAGACTGTGGTCTCTCATTTGGGGCTCGGGGCCTCTTCCTCACTCAGGTGATTATGGCAGGACTCAGTTCCTTGCTGTGGGGGCCACTCTCAGCTCCTAGAGGCCGCCCACATTCCTTGCCACTTGGCTGCTTCCATCTTCAAAGCCAGGAATGAAGAGTCTCCCTCACCTGGAATTCCTTTCACACCTCAAATCTCCCTTGCTGAGAGGAGCCCAGTCTCTGATCAGGACTTACCTGAAAAGGATAACCGCCCTTTCTTAAAATCACCTGGTTTGAGACCTTAATTACATTCAGGGAATTTCTTCACAGCAGCACCTAGGCTAGGATTGGATTGAGTTATCTGGGAAAAGGTGTGTGTACACTAGGAGAGGGGTACACTGGGACCATTGAGAATTCTGTCTACCACAGCACTTATAATTCCCTGCTACTTTTCCTGTTATTTATTACCTTCCTTCCTTCCTTAGAATATCTTATTAGCTATAATTACTTGTTTTACAAGGCTTATTTTTATCTTTAAAATGGGAACAATATATACTGTAGAGTTTTTAAGTATTAATGAGGATTAAATGATACATCATTTTTTAAATCCCTGGTATATAAGTGTTAGACAAATGTTGGTGGCTGTTATTGTTAAGAGAAAGATGGTAGCAAGTACAATCAACTAAAAATATATTAATTTGGAATTTCTATTATGACTTTGTGTTCAATTTTTATTATCTTTAGGGAAAATAGGGATTAGCTAAGCAAATAGCAAATATCTTAGGAAAATATTTACTAAAGAATAAAATTTCACACTGGATATGATAGATATAAGCTTGTTATATAAGGTCAAACAAAATGTGTTGAGCACTTATTTTGTGTGAGGCATAATAATGTCGGGAACTAATGATACCCTGGTGAATAAGACAGGCGTAGATGCACCCTTCATGAAGCAAGGCATTCTCATATTGCCTTGAAGAATGGTCTCTGAAGGACTCGAGAATATTTTGTCAGCTAAGTTAGACTTGTTTTTCCAGAAAAGCACTTGATTCAGTCTTTTTGCACAATGACCTCCCCAACTGGTCTTCCCGAGTGTTAATGTGTTAATGTAGCACAGAAACTTTCCTGTACATCAGGCCCACCTGCCATTTCTTATTTAGATTCTAACATTTACACTCAAATTAGAAGAGAAAAAGCTGAAAGCATTTTAGAAACTTTAGAGCCCAGACAGTAATGTCATATATTTAATAAAAGTCGTCTTTGCCCAGAGTGGCATGGCTATACAGGAAGGAGTAGGAAAGTGGAGCTTCTTGGAAGTTTCATCTTTTCTGTACCATTTAAAAATAGTTCACTTTCAGGAAAACTGGCTAGCATTTAAAACTAAAGTTGTTTATATATTTAAAAGATTTAATGTATGTGGCAACAATGATCTTTCTCTATATAAAATTTTATTTGTAAAAGAAGGGAATAAGTGCCACATGGTGGCAGCATTACTTAAATTATTGAAGTACTGTTAGTATATTTTAAGCTCTCTTTTTGTTGTCATTAGTGTTTAAGGCAAATTGACTATCTTTCTCTTGACTTTATAAAAATTTTCTTCCCTTGATTCCAATGAACATTATGAACAGAGATTCACAAGGATCTCACTTTTCAGCTGGAATGCCTAGAGTGAATATTAATGTAGTAGTATCAGTGAGTAAAGGTGTTGTCTGTGTCATTATCTCTCCTGCAGATGAGATGTCATGGCCTTTCTCTTGTGCAGCAGAGTAGAGACCCACATTAGTCACCAAGTATTTATGAAGTGCTTGCAGAGTGTATGTCCTGTGTAAGTTCTTTTTTTTTCCTTTGTCAACAGGAACATTGAGACTATATATAAGTTCTTATTTAGTTTTTAGCAAACTTTTTTCAGTGCTTTATTGAATAGTCATTTAACACCTAGATATATCAGTAAGGAATGTGTTTAGTGACTAGTGATAAATCTGAAAATTAGTGGCTTTAACAAGTACTTATTTTTCTATCACTATACCCAGATGCTAGACTTAGACAGCCTAGGGTTGGTATGGGGTCTCCACAATGACAGCTTTTTCTTCCAACTTTACCTTCTATCTCCCTGGGGTGTTGCCCTTATCCTTCTGCTTACAAGGTAGCTTTTGGCACTCCAGCCATTTCATTTGCATTTTATGTAGCAAAGGGGAAGGCAGGTGGGAAACAGCTAGCAGTTTCTGCTACAGCACATTACTACTCCTGATAAAATGTATTGATAGCAAGAAAGAAGAGAATAGATACAGAAGTATCTGTCACACCAGGTATGTAAATATAAATAAGAAACAGTCCCTACCTCCAGAAAATTTACATTCTAGGGAGAAGAAAGACACCTAAGCAAAGAGTCATAATGGTGTAATTATTATGCTGAAATAAGCACAAAGTACCTGAGGGCTCAGGGAAGGAAATAGAAACAACTCCCAACGGAGCCCCGAGGAAAATTTTCATAGAAGGGATGATGTTTGGGCTGAGAAAGAAAAATAGATGTTACAAAAATTGGAGGAAATGTTGGTTAAAATTAGAGGCAAAAAAAAAAGCGTTCAATAAGTACAGTAATTATAGGAGTTGGGAGGGATTGTGTTAAGGAATTCCAATGTGGGTTAAACTGATGAGGAGAAAATTTCTTAAAAGGCAGCACAAACTAGAATATTCATCTCACATCCTGATATCGTGTTTTTAGTTAAACTGTGAGATTATTAAATACCAGGATAAAACATCATATTATTAGAGTATCTGTCACAGATAGCATGTGACGAACGTGTGTGTATTCAGTATAGTTT